GTGTCTCTGTAGATCTTAGAAAACTATTTCTAGATTTAAGTCATTGACGTGCTGGCTGATACCCAAACAGGGGATGAGCTGGAGATGTCTCTGCCTTGGTCCTTTCACTATTGGCTGCTACTTCCCGGCGGATGTGAGGTGGTGCAATACCGGCTGGTGTAGGGCGCAGACACCCAGTGATAATGCGGCATGTCTCATTAAGAGCCACATCCACTGTTTTAGTGTGGTGAGATGTGTTCCACACTGGGCATGCATACTCAGCAGCAGAGTAGCACAGCGCAAGGGCAGATGTCTTCACTGTGTCTGGTTGTGATTCCCAGGTTGTGCCAGTCAGCTTTTGTATGATATTGTTTCTAGCACCCACTTTTTTGTAGGTCAGAGCACGGTCCAGAATGACTCCCAGGGATTTGGGTGTGCTGCAATGCTCCCGTGGGATTCCTTCCCAGGTAATGATCCTCAGAGCTTGGGATGCTTGTCTGTTCTTGAGATGAAAGGCGCATGTCTGTGTTTTAGGTGGATTAGGGATCAGCTGGATTTCCCTGTCATAGGCAGTAAGAGCACCATTAGTTGGGGAAACGTAATGGGGGTTAAAAGCAATGGGTCCATGCACAGCAACATGTTCTGCAGCAGGCAGGGGCCAAAATGGGTCTTGCAGGGGTTTTGGACTACAATTTTGGACTACAATCCCACAATTGAGCCTGCCACTTTTGGACTCTTGCTTGCTGAGGTGTTCCAGCAAGTGTCTCTGTAGATCTTAGAAAACTATTTCTAGATTTAAGTCATTGACGTGCTGGCTGATACCCAAACAGGGGATGGGCTGGAGATGTTCTGCAGCAGGCAGGGGCCAAAATGGGTCTTGCAGGGGTTTTGGACTACAATTTTGGACTACAATCCCACAATTGGGTTTGAGCCTGCCACTTTTGGACTCTCGCTTGCTGAGGTGTTCCTGCAAGTGTCTCTGTAGATCTTAGAAAACTATTTCTAGATTTAAGTCGTTGACGTGCTGGCTGATACCCAAACAGGGGATGAGCTGGAGATGTCTCTGCCTTGGTGCTTTCACTATTGGGTCTGCTACTTCCCGGTGGATGTTAGGGCCATTGATTGAGGTTCTGGATTTTAGCCTGCCACTTTTGGACTCTCGCTTGCTGAGGTGTTCCAGAAAGTGTCTCTGTAGATCTTATAAAACTATTTCTAGATTTAAGTCGTTGACGTGCTGGCTGATACCCAAAAGGGGATGAGCTGGAGATGTCTCTGCCTTGGTCCTTTCACTATTGGCTGCTACTTGTATCTCATTTGGTATCAGCCATTGGTTGAGGTTTGAGCCTGCCACTTTTGGACTCTCGCTTGCTGAGGTGTTCCAGCGAGTGTCTCTGTAGATCTTAGAAAACTATTTCTAGATTTAAGTCATTGACGTGCTGGCTGATACCCAAACAAGGGATGAGCTGGAGATGTTTCTGCCTTGGTCCTTTCACTATTGGCTCTACAATTTTGGACTACAATCCCACAATTGAGCCTGCCACTTTTGGACTCTTGCTTGCTGAGGTGTTCCAGCAAGTGTCTCTGTAGATCTTAGAAAACTATTTCTAGATTTAAGTCATTGACGTGCTGGCTGATACCCAAACAGGGGATGGGCTGGAGATGTTCTGCAGCAGGCAGGGGCCAAAATGGGTCTTGCAGGGGTTTTGGACTACAATTTTGGACTACAATCCCACAATTGAGCCTGCCACTTTTGGACTCTTGCTTGCTGAGGTGTTCCAGCAAGTGTCTCTGTAGATCTTAGAAAACTATTTCTAGATTTAAGTCATTGACGTGCTGGCTGATACCCAAACAGGGGATGGGCTGGAGATGTTCTGCAGCAGGCAGGGGCCAAAATGGGTCTTGCAGGGGTTTTGGACTACAATTTTGGACTACAATCCCACAATTGAGCCTGCCACTTTTGCAAGGCCCATTGTGGCCCCCCCCCCCTGCCTGCTGCAGAACATGTTGCTGTGCATGGAGAGGAGGAGGAGGAGGAGGAGGGACTCTTCCCCAAGCTCACCTGCAATTGCAAAACTGGGAAAGAGAAACTCAGCATGCATGTTCTTTCAAATCTACATGAATGGGGGCGTGGCTTCCTCCTCTTCCAATCCCAGGGCGCCAGCTCGGCACTTCCACCCGCGGCCACTAGAGGGCGAGCTGCTACCAAATCGGCGCATGCGCGAGGAGGGAGAGGTGGGCGTGTCCGGCATGGCGTTGGCGGCGAGGGTGACGTTCCGCGGGGGCCTGCTGGGGGCGCTGTTGCTTCCGCTCCTCTCCCGCGCCGGAGGGAGGCGCGCCACGCTTCCGGTCGCGGTGAGTCAGTGAGTGAGCGAACGACGGTGGGGAAGGCGACTTCCGGGTTCCAGGCCCAAAAGGGGGCGGGGCCACTGAGGGGGCGGGGCCAGAAGGAGAGACCACGCCCCTTCCTGCCTCACTGCCCTTCCCAATAATAATAATGCATAATATAATACTAATAATAATATTAATAATAGAATATAGTAATGATAATATTATATTATTATTTTCATTATCATTACTATATTCTATTATTAATATTACTATTAGTATTATATTATTTATTATTATTATTATTATACATTATTATGTTATTATATTCTGCTATTATTTCCCATTATCATTATTATATTATATTATTAATATTATTATTAGTATTACATTATGTATTATTATTATTATACATTATTATGTTATTATATTCTGCTATTATTTTCCATTATTATTATATTTTATTATTATTAGTATTACATTATGTATTATTATTATTATACATTATTATGTTATTATATTCTGCTATTATTTTCCATTATCATTATTATATTCTATTATTATTAATATTATTATTAGTATTACATTATGTATTATTATTATTATACATTATTATGTTATTATATTCTGCTATTATTTTCCATTATCATTATTATATTCTATTATTATTAATATTATTATTAGTATTACATTATGTATTATTATTATTATTATACATTATTATGTTATTATATTCTGCTATTATTTTCCATTATCATTATTATATTCTATTATTATTAATATTATTAGTATTACATTATTATTATACATTATTATGTTATTATATTCTGCTATTATTTTCCATTATCATTATTATATTCTATTATTATTAATATTATTATTAGTATTACATTATGTATTATTATTATTATACATTATTATGTTATTATATTCTGCTATTATTTTCCATTATCATTATTATATTCTATTATTATTAATATTATTATTAGTATTACATTATGTATTATTATTATTATTATACATTATTATGTTATTATATTCTGCTATTATTTTCCATTATCATTATTATATTCTATTATTATTAGTATTACATTATGTATTATTATTATTATACATTATTATGTTATTATATTCTGCTATTATTTTCCATTATCATTATTATATTCTATTATTAATATTATTATTAGTATTACATTATGTATTATTATTATTATACATTATTATGTTATTATATTCTGCTATTATTTTCCATTATCATTATTATATTCTATTATTATTAATATTATTATTAGTATTACATTATGTATTATTATTATTATTATTATACATTATTATGTTATTATATTCTGCTATTATTTTCCATTATCATTATTATATTCTATTATTATTAATATTATTATTAGTATTACATTATGTATTATTATTATTATACATTATTATGTTATTATATTCTGCTATTATTTTCCATTATCATTATTATATTCTATTATTATTAATATTATTATTAGTATTACATTATGTATTATTATTATTATTATTATACATTATTATGTTATTATATTCTGCTATTATTTTCCATTATCATTATTATATTCTATTATTATTAATATTATTATTAGTATTACATTATGTATTATTATTATTATACATTATTATGTTATTATATTCTGCTATTATTTTCCATTATCATTATTATATTCTATTATTATTAATATTATTATTAGTATTACATTATGTATTATTATTATTATACATTATTATGTTATTATATTCTGCTATTATTTTCCATTATCATTATTATATTCTATTATTATTAATATTATTATTAGTATTACATTATGTATTATTATTATTATACATTATTATGTTATTATATTCTGCTATTATTTTCCATTATCATTATTATATTCTATTATTATTAATATTATTATTAGTATTACATTATGTATTATTATTATTATACATTATTATGTTATTATATTCTGCTATTATTTTCCATTATCATTATTATATTCTATTATTATTAATATTATTATTAGTATTACATTATGTATTATTATTATTATTATACATTATTATGTTATTATATTCTGCTATTATTTTCCATTATCATTATTATATTCTATTATTATTAATATTATTATTAGTATTACATTATGTATTATTATTATTATTATACATTATTATGTTATTATATTCTGCTATTATTTTCCATTATCATTATTATATTCTATTATTATTAATATTATTATTAGTATTACATTATGTATTATTATTATTATACATTATTATGTTATTATATTCTGCTATTATTTCCCATTATCATTATTATATTCTATTATTATTAATATTATTATTAGTATTACATTATGTATTATTATTATTATACATTATTATGTTATTATATTCTGCTATTATTTTCCATTATCATTATTATATTCTATTATTATTAATATTATTATTAGTATTACATTATGTATTATTATTATTATACATTATTATGTTATTATATTCTGCTATTATTTTCCATTATCATTATTATATTCTATTATTATTAATATTATTATTAGTATTACATTATGTATTATTATTATTATACATTATTATGTTATTATATTCTGCTATTATTTTCCATTATCATTATTATATTCTATTATTATTAATATTATTATTAGTATTACATTATGTATTATTATTATTATTATACATTATTATGTTATTATATTCTGCTATTATTTTCCATTATCATTATTATATTCTATTATTATTAATATTATTATTAGTATTACATTATGTATTATTATTATTATTATACATTATTATGTTATTATATTCTGCTATTATTATTATTTTCCATTATCATTATTATATTCTATTATTAATATTATAATTAGTATTATATTATGTGTTATTATTATTAATTATTTTATACATTATTATGTTATTATATTCTGCTGTTATTATTATTTTCCATTATCATTATAATATTCTATTATTAATATTATTAGTATTATATTATGTATTATTATTATTATTTTATACATTATTATGTTATTATGTTATGCTATTATTATTATTTTCCATTATCATTATTCTGTTCTATTATTAATATTATTATTAGTATTATATTATGTATTATCTGCCTCTCCTTGCGGTTATAATACATTATTATTATTATTATATTCCATTATTTATTTATGCATTTATTTATTTATTGCCTGAGGGTACAACATACATAAAATAAATGTTAAATTATTTTTATACATTATCATGTTATTATATTCTGCTCTTATTATTATTATTTTCCATTGTTTTCATTATTAGACTCCATTATTATTATTTTATATATTATCTGCCTCTCCTTACAGTTAAAATACATTGTTATTATTATTCCATTATTATTATCAATATTATAATCCATTATTATTTCTTTCTTATGTATTACCTTCCATTCCATCAGTCTGGAGGCAGAACTCAACGTAGTCAAAATACGTTATTGTCATTGTAATTATATTCTGCTATTATTATTTTCCATCATTTTTATATTCTATTATTATTATATCATTTTTATTTATTACCTACCTCGTTAGGGCTGGAGGCAGAACACCACTCAGTAAAAATACATTATCATTACTTTCAATTATTATTATGATTATGATTATATTCTATTATTATTTTCCATTATTATATTCTACTATTAATATTTTCCATTATTATTATTATTATTATTATTATATTCTGTGATTATTATTTTCAGTTATTATATTCTATTATTATTTTCCATTATTATTATTGTTATTATATTCTGCTATTATTTTCTAATATTATTATTATTATATTCTGTGATTATTATTTTCTATTATTATTATAATATTCTGCTATTATTATTTTCTATTATTATTATTATTATATTCTGATTATTATTTTCCATTATTATTATTATTATATTCTGCCATTATTATTTTCCATTGTTATTATTATTATATTCTGTGATAATTATTTTCCAGTATTATTATTATTATATTCTGCTATTATTATTTTCCATTATTATTATTATTATTATTATTATTATTATTATATTTTCCATTATTATTATTTATTTATTTATTATTATTATTTTCCATTATTATTATTATATTCTGCTATTATTATTTTCTAATATTATTATTATTATATTCTGATTATTATTTTCCATTATTATTATTATTACATTATTATTATTATTATATTCTGCAATTATAATTTTCCATTATCATTATTATTATTATTATTCTATTATTATTTTCCATTATTATTATATTCTGCTATTATTATTTTCCATTGTTATTATTATTATATTCTGTGATAATTATTTTCCAGTATTATTATTATTACATTCTGCTATTATTATTTTCCATTATTATTATTATTATTATTATTATTATATTTCCATTATTATTATTTATTTATTATTATTATTATTATTTTCCATTATTATTATTATATTCTGATTATTATTTTCCATTATTATTATTATTACATTATTATTATTATTATATTCTGCAATTATTATTTTCCATTATTATTATTATTATTATTCTATTATTATTTTCAATTATTATTATATTCTGCTATTATTATTTTCCATTATTATTATTATTATATTCTGTGATAATTATTTTCCAGTATTATTATTATTATATTCTGCTATTATTATTTTCCATTATTATTATTATTATTATTATTATTATTATTATATTTTCCATTATTATTATTTATTTATTATTATTATTATTATTTTCCATTATTATTATTATATTCTGCTATTATTATTTTCTAATATTATTATTATTATATTCTGATTATTATTTTCCATTATTATTATTATTACATTATTATTATTATTATTATATTCTGCAATTATTATTTTCCATTATTATTATTATTATTATTATTCTATTATTATTTTCAATTATTATTATATTCTGTGATAATTATTTTCCATTATTATTATTATTATTATTATTATATTTTCCATTATTATTATTTATTTATTTATTTATTTATTATTTTCCATTATTATTATTATTATATTTTCCATTATTATTTATTATTATTTATTATTATTATTTTCCATTATAATTATTACTATTATATTCCACTATTATTATTTTCCATTATTATATTTTAAAATTATTATTTTATGTATTCCCGCCTCCCCTTAGGGCTCAAGGCAGAGCGCAACATAGTTAAAATACATAGAATCCTAGTGCTGGAGGGTCTCCCAGAGATGATGCAGTCCAACCCCCTTCTTTCTACCAGGAAGGATGACACCATCCAAGCCCCCTCGGCAGGTGGCCACCCAGCCTCTGCTCAAAAACCTCCAGAGAAGGGAGGCTCCCCCCATTTCTGTCCCCCATGTCCCAGCGGTATTTATTGGAGAGGGAGGTCATTATGGGACTGAACTGGTTTGTGTTGTGTCTCTTGGCAGAGGGGCCTTGCGGTGACCCCCCGTGACTCGGACGGAGAGGTGGACAAGGCCCAGCGATCAGCCAAGGAGCAGGAGGCCTCCACTGGTCAGAAGACCATCTTCAGTCGCATCCTGGATGGCTCCATCCCAGCCAAATTCGTTTACCAGGATGACAAGGTGGGAGCGGGGATGCATTCACACTGACCAATGACCCTGTTTTTAGTGCCAAGGCTAGACCAGTCCAGGTGTTTTGGACTCCAACTCCCACAATTCAGGGTGGGCCGGATGGCCTTTGGATGCCCCTTCCAATGCACGGTTCTGTGTTTCCGCAGTGCATGGCCTTCCGGGACGTGTCCCCGCAGGCTCCCGTCCATGTGCTGGTGATCCCCAGGAAGCCCATCCCCCGCCTCAGCCAAGCGGAAGAAGCGGACACCCAGGTGAGGGTCAGCCGAAAGGCCACACAAACACAATTGTCGAAGTATTGTTGAAGGCTTTCACTGCTAGAATCACTGGGGTGTTGTGTGGTTTCCGGACTATACGGCCAATGTGTTCTAGCAGCATTTTCTCCTGATGTTTCACCTGCATCTGCTTCTCCCCATTTATGATTTCAGCTCCTGGGTCACTTGCTGCTAGTGGCCAGCCAGGTGGCCAAGGCTGAGGGCCTTTCCGAGGGCTACCGTGTGGGTGAGTAGGAAATAATAATAATAATAATAATAATAATAATAATAATAATAATAACAACAACAACAACACTTTATTTGCAGGCTGGGGGCTTCTGGGAACTGTAGTAGGTTGTTAGGAATTGTGGGAGTTGGAGTTGGAGTCCAAAACACCTGGAGGGAGGGCCAAAAGTGGCCCATACCTGAAAGAGGTACTGATACAGCCTCACCCACCTTTTATTCTTCTCTTGCAGTGATCAACGACGGGAAGCATGGGGCCCAGTCCGTCTACCACCTCCACCTCCACATCTTGGGGGGCCGCCAGATGGGGTGGCCCCCTGGTTGAGCTTAATGGAGGCCCCCCTGAAACTAAATAATAAAAGCCTACAAAGTGGGATCCTGTTAAGGTGACTGTCGATCAGGAGGAATCTGGCCATCTGTCAGGGGTGTTTTGAATGTGATTGTCCTGCTTCTTGGCAGAATGGGGTTGGACTGGATGGCCCACAAGATCACTTCCAACTCTAGGATTCTATGAATGCTAAGGTGTGCTGCTGTGTCCCTCTTCTCTTTTTTGGCCCCCAAAACCTCCAGGGTGCTTTTATCCAGTCAAACAGTAGAAGTGAGGAGATTGTGCAACAGGTTTATTTGGCCAAATCGCCCTGCCGGGTGAACAAAAGGAAAAGTGCCACACACGAAAACCAAGAAGCAACTCAGTTTTAGCATTATCACCTTGAGCATGCATGTACAGATCAGGCTATTTTTCTCAAATTCATGTCTCAATTCTCATATCTTCTGTTCCCTTCTCTGGCACCTCCTTGACTATTCTTCTTCTGCCCCCTCCCCCCCCCCCCCCCGGTTCTGTTTTTGGGAAAATTCTTTTCAAAATGAAAATGGAACTCAAGATTCCAAATTGCGAATCTGAACTTCTTGCCTCCTAATTTCCCGGAATTTGAAACTAAAACAGAATAGATTCACACTTTCATAATATTTAGGTATTTTTTTTATAACACTCTATCTCCCCAAGGGTGAGGGGACTCAGAGTGGATTACAACATCATCATCATCACTTTATTTCTTAATTAGTCGCTCTCCACCCGGGATGTAAGAGGAGATTTTCCTGGGTGGATCGAGGTGACCACTGATGGGAAAAAGGAATGAGGCGGTCCCTAAGATATCAAGGTCCTTGGCCATTTTGAGCTCTCAATGTCAGGATCAGGATCTTGTCAGAGATCCGATGTTCTCTTGGTAGCCAATGCAGTTGTTGCAGAATCGGTGTGATATGGGATCTTAGAGACGATCCCGCTAGCAGCCTGGCCGCTGCATTTTGGACCATCCAAATCTTCTGGGTTGTTGACTTCAGAAGGCCGGCATAGAAGGCGTTGCCATAGTCCAACCTCGTGGTGACTGTTGTGTGGATGACCGTTGCCAATGCTTCTACCGAAAGGTCGGATGCCAATTTCCTTGCCTGGCGAAGGTGAACAAAGGCCTGCTTCCTTATGGCCGTGATCTGGGCCTCCATCGTCAGCGATGAGTCCAACACAACCCCTTTAAGGCTTTTCACAGTGGCAGACGGAACCAGAGCTTCCCCATCGAAATCAGGCAGAGACTGGGTTAATTCTGGTGCCCGGGCCAGAGTATCTCAGTTTTTGCAGGATTGACTTTTAGTCTGCTTGCTCGTAGCCAACTCATCACTGCTTCCAAACACAGCTTAAAGTTCTCAGGAATCACAGTTGTCCCAGGTTTGAGACGCAAGAGTAGCTGGGTATCATCTGCATACTGGTAGCACTCTCGGCCAAAGCTCTGCACCAGTCCAGCAAGTGGCCGGACGTAGATGTTAAACAACAGGGGCGAGAGGATGGCACCCTGGGGAACTCACTCCACAGCAAAGGCAGGAGCTTTCAGAGCTTTGGCCTGACCACTCCACCCTCTGTCTCCGGTCCCGGAGGAACGCATTGAACCATTTGAGGGCTAAACCTCCTCGTACACCAGACAGAGCCAATCGAGGAATCAGCCAGTCATGGTCCACGGTGTCAAATGCAGCTGTGAGGTCCAAGAGTACCAATGGCGCTGATCCGCCTCGGTCTAACTGACGACGAATTTCGTCAGTAGCGACCAAGACAGTCTCTGTCCCATGACCTGAGCGAAAGCCTGATTGGAAGGGGTCCAAACCCGCAGTCTCACCTAAGAATGGCTGTAGCTGCCCCCCACTGTCCGTACAATCCCCTTGCCCAGGAACGGAAGGTTTGAAACTGGGCGATAGTTACTAGGGATGGCAGCATCAAGGCTTGGTTTTTTCAGGAGAGGGTGGACCACTGCTTCTTTCAGGCAATCTGGAAAATTTCCTTGCTCCAAGGAGCTGTTGATGATGCTCCTTAAGGGATCTCATAGTCCCTCCCAGCACTCCTTAACCAACCGTGTCATAAATACTTTTAAAAACATTAAATAGGTTCTGTTATTCTGCTTTTAGTGAGACAGGTTGCATTAGGCACTTTCAGAGAGAAAAATAGACTCCAGTACTAGGTTTTATACTAATTATATTGGTTACATATTTATTTGTCGTGTCAGAACAACCAGTCTAACAGAACAAAGCAAACAAACAGAAAAATACACAACTTGTGAGTTTGGTAGCTGGTTAAATGTCCTTTGACCAGTCTCTGGCCACTTGGAGTGCTTCTGGTGTTGCTGCAAGAAGGTCCTCCCTTGTGCATGTGGCAGGGCTCAGGTTGCATTGCAGCAGGTGGTCAGTGGTTTGCTCTTCTCCACACGCATGTCGAGGATTCTACTTTGTAGCCCCATTTCTGAAGGTTGGCTCTGCATCTCGTGGTGCCAGAGCGCAGTCTGTTCAATGCCTTCCAAGTCGCCCAGTCTTCTGTGTGCCCAGGGGGGAGTCTCTCATTTGGTATTTATTTATTTATTGACTTTTCTTATATACCGCTGTATCTCAAGCCCGAAGGCGACTCACGGCGGTTCACAAACAGTAAAAACAGTAGAAACAGCAGTGGTTCCATACAACATATAACAATTGACTTAACACATTATCCATAAATTACCAATAAGCAATTACAATGCACAATTATTACAAAAAACAACCGTACCCAATCTTCTCATCATCCAAGCTTAGTCCAGGTTCGTCCTGCTCAAACAGCCAGGTCTTCACTTTTTGCGGAATACCATTAGAGATGGTGCTAGTCTAATGTCCGTAGGAAGGGCGTTCCACAGCCGAGGAGCCACCACCGAGAAGGCCCTATCTCTCGTCCCCGCCAGCCGAGCTTGAGAAGCAGGCGGGATCGAGAGCAGGGTCTCCCCGGAAGATCTCAAAGTCCTGGTGGGTTCATAGGCAGAGATGCGGTCAGATAGGTATCTTGGGCCGGAACCGTTTAGGGCTTTAAAGGCCAACGCCAGCACTTTGAATTCAGCCCGGTAGCAGATCGGTAGCCAGTGGAGTTGGCGCAACAGGGGGGTTGTATGCTCCCTGCGCTCCGCTCCTGTTAAAATCATGGCTGCCGAGCGTTGGACTAGTTGGAGCTTCCGAGCTGTCTTCAAAGGCAACCCCATGTAGAGAGCGTTGCAGTAGTCTAAACGGGATGTAACCAGAGTGTGGTATCAGCCATTGGTTGAGGTGCTGGGTTTGAGCCTGCCACTTTTGGACTCTCGCTTGCTGAGGTGTTCCAGCGAGTGTCTCTGTAGATCTTAGAAAACTATGTCTAGATTTAAGTCGTTGGCGTGCTGGCTGATACCCAAACGGGATGAGCTGGAGATGTCTCTGCCTTGGTCCTTTCAGTATTGCCATACCGGCTAAGCAGTGTAATTTCTCCAGTGGTGTGGGGCGCAGACACCCCGTGATAATGCGGCATGTCTCATTAAGAGCCACATCCACTGTTTTAGTGTGGTGAGATGTGTTCCACACTGGGCATGCATACTCAGCAGCAGAGTAGCATAGCGCAAGGGCAGATGTCTTCACTGTGTCTGGTTGTGATCCCCAGGTTGTGCCAGTTAGCTTTCGTATGATATTGTTTCTAGCACCCACTTTTTGCTTGATGTTCAGGCAGTGCTTCTTGTAGGTCAGAGCACGGTCCAGAGTTACATAGACAAAGGGGAATATTGCATTAACATTGACACATAGACTCTAACATTCAGTCATTCATTCATCATCCATTCATTCATCAAGCATTCTTACCATTCTTCTTGCTGAAGATGATCAGCTTCTTGAGAGGAGAAGGCGGCTGTTCACGATGGCGTTCAGAAATGGTGTTCAGTTGATCTGACACACACTCTCTGAGAGAGAAGGGTCCTTTTATGTAGTATTTCCTGTTGATGTGGTTCTGAAAGTTGTAGATTACTGACAGACAGATTCCATCAGTTCTTGGACAGATCTTGATTCTGATTGATTGCCTTTCCTCATCCAGGAGCCTTGTCAACATTTCTGTCGGGAGCCACAGTCTTGACTTCCTTACTTAAAAGAACCATTGTCTTTGGCAATGGAAACAAGTTGTTTTTCCACCAAGAGTTAATCAAGTCAGAATGTCAACAGTTCTCAAATCTCATCAGCAATTTTTAATTAGTCCACAAGTCCTTCGCCTCTGTCTTGTAGTTTTCCAGGCCTCGTTCCTTAGAATGGTATCTTCAGCCCAGTTGGGCCACATTCATACGCCTTTCATACAATCTCACTCAAACCATACAGCATATTTTATCATGACAACCGGGAGGGGCAAGGATCGAGGGAGCAGGTGGTTGGTCTTGCGGCAGCTAGAGTCTTTGATAGGCAAACATTATTTATTTATTTATTTATGTATTTACTTTGCTTCTATACTGCTGTATCTCAAGCCCGAAGGCGACTCACGGCGGTTCACAAACAGTAAAAACAGTAGAAACAGCAGTGGTTCCATACAACATATAACAATTGACTTAACACATTATCCATAAATTACCAATAAGCCATTACAATGCACAATTATTACAAAAAACAACCGTACCCAATCTTCTCATCATCCAAGCGTAGTCCAGATTCGTCGTCCATTGTTCCATTCCTATGTTCCATTACCAGATTGCACTAAATTACTCAAACGCCTGCACAAACATCCAGGTCTTCACCTTTTTGCGGAATACCATTAGAGATGGTGCTAGTCTAATGTCCGTAGGAAGGGCGTTCCACAGCCGAGGAGCCACCACCGAGAAGGCCCTATCTCTCGTCCCCGCCAGCCAAGCTTGAGAAGCAGGCGGGATCGAGAGCAGGGTCTCCCCGGAAGATCTCAAACTCCTGGTGGGTTCATAGGCAGAGATGCGGTCAGATAGGTAGCTTGGGCCGGAACCGTTTAGGGCTTTAAAGGCCAACGCCAGCACTTTGAATTCAGCCCGGTAGCAGATCGGTAGCCAGTGGAGTTGGCGCAACAGGGGGG